ATCAGATTGCTTCTTTCATTGGGAATTGAAATCTCCAGATAGTTATCAATCTATTTCAACCCCCGGACCTAATCTTTCGTAATGTTTTTGTACCGGGTTAAAATGTACATTTTTCTTCAGACAAAATATTGTGATATTCGATTGACGCTGTGGGAAAGGAATAACTTAACCCCAAAACATATTCAATTCAAATAGCATGTCAGATGCCAAAATAGGCCTACTATACCGAGTTGGATATTATTATAAACAGATCGAGTTGCAAATACAACAGACCGTTGTATGTAAAGTTCAACGCAAATCTAAATTGCAATGTAATCTATTTTACCCGGATCTTGCATTTAGAATTAGGTGAAGAAGACATAAAACATAATCATACTGTTTAGATAATAATAAACAGAACAACATGCAAATATGATAGGACATTGTACAAAACAATAATTTATTTATTTTAATATACATACATGTATATAATCATATATCTTGATACATGTTTGTTTGTGAGCACTAAGAAAGATGTGAAATACATTATAAACCTATTAAAAAAAATGTTACACTTTAGGGATAATATAAACTTGTAAATCCAGTCATGCAAGACAATTTACAATAACCTAGAAACATAAAAGATCAATCCACATAATTGCATTTTGACGATGTCGTTAATTATTATTGCTAACGTTCCATCAATTTATATTTGTAATAGTGCCTTCTGAAGTGTGATGTGGTGGCATTTGTCTGCTGAGAGAATAACATTCACTCCCCCACTATTGATACACTGGTGCACTTCAATGTGCTACGTCACTATGGTATGTTATTGTATGTGGTTCAATCATTCTGATATATCATAGTCCCTAATTATCTAATAGCCCCTAATTTATCTAATGCATATGACTATTATCCAGGAAAATGTCATTAAAATTCCATTTAATTGAATTGTTTTGATTTTGAACTATGTTTTCAGGCATAATATGTCAATATTAATTAAAAGGAATTATATTCATGAAAATTACATAAATGCAGATCTACCTTAGTTCCTCTTATACATAGTATTTAGGCCTTTGCATGGTAGAAAGCTTGTACGGCAAAAGTTCCATAACAGAAAACACCTTTAATTACCCTTTGCATTCGTTTGACTTTGCTTCTTAAAGTGAGCTTCGTCTTCATTCATTATAAGTAGACTATGCACACAGGGTAACTTTTAATGGTTATGTCAAAGTCACCTGCTGCTTTGGAAGGAAAGTGCTGATATTATGGGATTAAGATCTGATCGTAATAATACAAGGAGAATAAGGTGACCTCAAATTCAATTAGACACATAAACCTCATTTCTATTGTTTATTTCCTGTTTTAATTTGTCTGATTAGTTCTGTATCTCAATAGTCGTAACCATGTTTTTTTATCACTGTACACAGAGTGCTTTAGGATGCTTTCAGAATCAGACTTGTAGAATAGAGGTGAAATAGATTTTTGGTTTTTTCACATCCCATGGTGAGTTGTTTCAATCAATCACTCACTTGTTCAGTCAATTGGTTGATGGGTTGTTCAATGAGCCCAGTATCCATAGTACTATTTATTCCTCCTAGTTTTTTCCTTTGTATTCTGTGATAATAAATCCTGTAACCATTGTCTGACAAAGTAATGAAAACATGTTAGTGATAATGTAATATGTTAAAGATTACAAATAGATTGATGATTTGATGACGTAGATTAAGAGCTGTGTGGGTTATTATTGAGAGTTATTGAGCATTTGATGAGAAAGATAAATGTTTTGTAGGATTCAGGATTGATAGACGTCATATAACAATTCATAAATGATATTTAGAGTAAACCTGTTAGGTTATCTTACTCTCTTCATTGTAAAAAGGTGTCAAATTAGGTTGACATTCATTGTAAATAGCTGTCATAGGTTGACATTCATTGTAAATAGCTGTCATAGGTTGACATTCATTGTAAATAGCTATCATAGGTTGACATTCATTGTAAATAGCTGTGATAGGTTGACATAGTTCATCCTTGGTCCAATGGTATTTCACTTTTTCTATTGAAAAATAATTAAGTCCTTTGATGAAGAATTTACAAAGGTTGTACAGGTTGTTTTTAGCAGTTTGTTGATTGCAACTGGTCACATTTTTTTAATGGTGTCCTCGACTTTTTGTGAGTTGATTTGCAGGGGTTAAATTTAAACAACAGGCAAAATTATTAGAATGGAATTCAACTTTGAAAAGTTGAAAAGTCCCTAAAAACAACCAGTGAAAATCGCCTGTTACTTGCTGCTAATGAAATCCCTGAGCTGAATGGGGTGATATAGTGATAGTGAAAATAAAACAACTAGTTGCTTTGCCTGTGTTTACTTACTTGACATGGTTTACCTGTAAATCCTGAACTCATATCTTCTTCTTATTCCATTGTTTTCTTTTGACAAATGATATTTAAAGAGCTCTTACTTTGTCATCAGTTATTAATGTGACTACACTGTTGGTTAGATTTATGGAATAGTTTTCTCAGAAATATGTAATTCTTATGGCTTGTCTAAATTTGCATTAACATTTGGCTTTTAAACATTATAATTCAATTGACCTGCCTACTCTAAATACAGGTTACCATTGCAACCTTATCTCAAAATTAATTTAAGACATAGCTACAATATTTAAGCATTGTATGTGTAATTACATATTCTACATTTTCGGAGAAAATAAGAGGGATATGTGAAAAAAACACAAAATGAGAGCATTTTTATCAGAATATATGGATCGCCCCTTGTATAATACGTTGTTCATTTTCATGTTCATTTTCTAAAAAATCTAAAAACTTTGCTCAGGGAAACTGAGTATTTTTGAAGAAATGCAGTATTCTTGTAGAAACATAGTTTTTTTGTTGAAACATAGTATTTGTTCATCCTCTACAAATATGTACAATTATTTATAGAGCGCACATTGGTTTAAAAATTTTATATTTCTTTTGACATTTATTCTACTTATCAGAACATGTAAAGAATAATAGGTTTAAACCATGAAGAGATCTGAAATGAGATAGGGACTTCAACTGTTTCCTGTTTATTCTCATTAAATAGTTCACATTGTTAGAGCATTGAGGAAGTCGCAAGTAGTCTATTAACTGATATGTTGTATCCGCAAAACATTCCAATTAACCTAAATTGTCTACGTTTGTGGGTGCCATCTGGAGTTCAATTTAGTATAATAATCTAATAGAATTCAGCTAATTCTAAAAAGGTTACATTGTGAATACTTATAGCACAAAAATGGAAAAAGATTTATGAAGCGTATCAATTATTAAATCAATACTATTTTTTATTTCACTACAAGAAGTAGTGATATATTGTTATAGTTACAAACTTTTATGTGAATAGTGTTCAGTGGTTGGTGGTCTGCATCTGTAACAAATGGCATGTGATGATTTATTGTTATAGTATCCAACTTTTATGTGGATGGTATTCGTTGGTTGATGGTCGGGTCTGTAACAAATGGAAGGTGGTGACATTTTGCATGTTAATGCCTTGTCAGTTATTAATCTTGCATATCACCATGTCTCTGATCTCCGTATCTGCTTCAACTTGGGATTCGTGGAATTGAGATGTTTAATCAGATGAAGGAAGAAGTCAAAATACAATTCTATAATTTGGTTCTTGTGAAGCAAGCCAAAACACTCCTGCACTGAAAGCCAATCAGTGTTATACCCAATGGGCACCAGGTATGAAATTCATCTTGTAATAATTACCAATCCCGGAATTGAAGGTAGATTGCACGATAGATAAACATTCTCATTTTGGCATGGGATTACATGACATGTTTCAGTCTGATTCCTCAGGGAGCATTAAGTACAATTCAGAAACTTGGTCAATAGGTCTAAATGTCTGCATGTACATGTATCTTGTATATGTTTGTCGCTTTTTCATTCTTAAGTGAAATCGTTGATGTGATTTTGCATTCTTTATATCTTTTATTGTCTCTTTTGATGTCATAAATGTGACAATTAACAGTCATTTCACAGTGTATTACCAGTTTATTTCCAATGAATAATAAAAACATATTATTGAAAAACAACTTTAATTACATCATAATTATTATTTACAATGCATTAGTAGTGTTAAACATTTGTATCTTAATATTCAGTATAATTAATATTGATCACATGTTTTTCTGTTTTCTTCCATTCCACTTCATTTAAAATAATAGAAGCATTTTAATGAAAGGTAAAACTAGGTGAATTAATCACAGATGTGATTCGTCTGGCTCTAACGTGTAAGCTACAGGTGTACCAGGGTTCGTTGATTATTGATATTCCCAGATATCAGATAAATTATCATAATATGTATTGACAATTTAAACTCCTTTGTACAAGTGATTTTTGCAAGAATTGAAGAACCTCAAAGTTCTTCTCAGTTCCCAATTCTTTATTCCTGTATATATTTATCTTAAAATTCTTTAAAGTATCAAAATTCTTTAAGAGGTATCAATTTATTGAGCAATGGTGATAATAGGTGTTCTGTTCCTTATTAAGAATAATGTAATAGAATATCTAACATTTCTTGGAGATATCCTTTTATCTACCTAGATTATTATTGTATAAAACTAATTGGCGGCTGAATTAGATGTGACACATTAGTTGAAAGCAATGTTCCTTCTGACCTATTTATAAAACAGATTAGTATTTTGAGTAACCAGGTGAGGATAACCTAATTGCCTTATTATGTCCCCACCATATAGTCAGTGTGGGGTTATATTGTCAGCCTCTGTCTGTCTGTACGTCCATGTCTTAAATTGGTGATTTTAATAGTTTATTAAAGGTCCATAGAAGCAATTAAGGAGTAGCTATATAATGTTGGGCCATATTATAAGCCTCTCTCTGTCTGTAAGTCCATGTCTTAAAGTTGTGATTTTAATATTTTATTAATGGTCTATAGAAGGCATTAAGGAGTAGCTATAATGTAGGGCCATATTATAAGCTTCTTTCTGTCTGAACGTCCGTGTCTTAAAGTTGTGATTTTAATAGTTTATTAAAGGTCCATAAAAGCGATTAGGAGTATCGGCATCCAAAGATGTGTAGTAATCCACAGCAGCATTTACAAATTCTTCCTCGGATATCTTACCATCGCCATCTGTATCCATGTAGTCAAACTGCATCTTTGCAAAGCGTAGGTCAAGGTCATACACGCGCCAGAAAACCAAGTATTCGTCAAATGTTATGTAACCAGAGGAGTCCAAATCAAATATCTGTAACATATATGAAAAGGGTATTGTGAACTATCGATAAAATATGGTAATATTATATTGCATTGAAGATATCATAAAGATAAAACTGTATGGATAATCTAGAATAGCAATGTGATTGAGTGAATGATATATCAGGTTGATCAATAGGTATTGCATAGACTCATTTTATGTTAATGTTTATTTCCTTTTTTTGAATTCACACAAATATACAAAGCATGAGTGGGTGACACTTAAAAAAAGTGTATATTCCCAGCAAATTTTTACAATAAAAGTTGTGTGTTGTCATATCCTGTTAAAGTGCAGTTTGGGACTTGTCTTTGCATTCAACCATACAAATGTTCATGTTTTGCTTGTCACATCTAAGTAGAGACCCATTGAATACAAACACTTAATTAGGGGTTACCTTGAACATTCTTGAATATTTAGATCGCAACAGATCTATTACACCTGGGTTATGTTCAGCCTTCCAGGCTGCAGTTACAAATTCTCCCAAGGATCTCTTGCCCATTATTTCTGACCTAGCTCCATCTTTTGGTGGCTTTGCATATGAGCGGAAGAACTCAATAACATCATCTGCAGCTTTTCCCTTGACGTTACCTGAAAATGAATGTGAATATTTAAAGAGAGAATCAGAGATAGCGAGCAGGCTAAACATAAAATTCTCTCAATTTTAGAATATTTTTGGCTCAGGCCATTCCTTGTCATGTCTATTTTCTAAAAATCACAAAAGTGCATACTTTATTCAAGGAGAACGAAAGATTTTTACAATAATGTATTATTTTTCTATAAGAATGGTTACCATTCTTATTATTTGGGAGAATTTAAACGTTTTTCACCCATTTTTGCAATTTGAATCATTAATAACTTCACCAATTTATAACATATTGTGAATCTTTTGGGAGATATTGTATTTGATATTGTAAGGAATAGATTGCTAGGTCAATTATGCACGTTGCTTGTAATTTTGTCACCCCCTATAGATCTGATTCTGCCTTTAAGCAATGCAACCATGTTCCATGAAATTTTCAAAATATAATAATGATCCTCATGGATAAAGTATTTTTATAAGCAAGGACATCTGGTCCAAATGGCTTTTGAATTCAGAATGTCTACCATTTTTTGTAAAAAATGAATCTGGTTCAAATTTTACACAATGAGACCTCTTCTCAAGAAAATATTCTAAAGATGGCCACTGAATTCAAAATGGCCTCCATTTTTCATGAAAATAATCTCTGATGACTTTGATACCAGTTATTAAATTGGTCCAAATATTAAGGGCCAATGTCTTGGGGGAATAGAACTGTTCTAAAAGGAATCCAATACAACTGCTCAGTTCAAAATGGCCAACATATTTTTGTAAAAACTCCATTATAGTATACAATTCATGATAACTCAAAAACAGTTATCAGATTTGGTCCAGACGTTAACGACTGATATCCCATGGTTATAGGACCTCTACTGAGTATAAATTTCAAATGTAGTGTCATGTCATGTCATGGGTGGAATGATTTTAAAAAAAGAAAATAAGACTGCCTCGTTATTTCTATCATGAGATGTTCAAAAATTATAAATGAGTTGATAAAATATGATCTCTTATACAGAGCTAAAATGTGTTTTTTGCCATTGTGAAAGACCTTCACCTAATACAATTTTCCATCTACTGGTCTTTCAGAATATATAAAAAATATTCTATGATGTTTGAGAAATAAGTAATTGTTTTTATAAAGCATCCGATGATAAAAATATTTACCATGCTTGATTAATCTCTGTGCTATTGTCATGAAATCATTGTAGCCTGGATAGCCATCATGGTCAATGTCATGTGCTATTATTATTGTAAGGTTTTTCCTCAGCCATGTAATGGGAAAGTCTCTTAACTGAAAATATTGTACAAGAGGTTTCCTTTTATATAATTAGAAAGAATGTATTATACTGAGTTGTATAAAAAGATTGAATATAACAGCGCAAACCTTTAATCGTATCTGAAACATTGAGCCCTGAAAACCCGTAATTTTTTTTCTACAAGCCAGAAATCCAGAATTTTAGAAAAAGTTATTCCAGATTTTTCAAAATTTCAGGTTGAGAACTATGGATTTAAATTTAAATGGAAATGCAAAATGTGAAATGCCGTGTGTAAGATATTTTGAAAATACTATACCTTAAGTATATTTCTCAAAACGGTGCTCCTCATTAAACCCCTCCCACCAAAGGTGCAAGCATTTTCGGAAAAAATCATACGTCCTACACTTTTTTTTATTAAAGCCTCCATCATTGTATAAGAATATTATTGAATAACATTTGCAACCTTTGCATTTTTGAATTCTTTATAGAAAATGATATTTTAAATAAAATTGTAAATCACTAAATTCACCCCTTGATGATGAAATGGTTAATTAGACAACTTTGTAAATCGTCAAGCAGGCCAGATATTAAAGCTTAACACAAATTGAATCATTTTTATATATATTATTCTGTTACTTCTAATGTTTATTTATGTCTCTTACCTTCTTTTCAGACGGAATATCTTGAGCATTTCCAGTCATTTTGCACCTTTCGCTATTTGTCTTTTTGCTAAAACTTCTAAGATAATTTTATTAACAGTTTTAGTAATTCAAGTTAGGCTGGGGCATAAAAGTGGCTGAAAGTTGTTCTATTAAATGAAGTAAAAGTAGGGCTAAACGTATAGTAAAGCCTATTTCAGAGTTTGTATTTTTGTCACATAAAAATAGTAATACCATAATCATAACAAAGAGTGCATAGGGCGCACATTGTTTAGAGATGAGTTACAAATGTATTTTCTTCAGTTACTTCTGAGTTAAAAATTGCATTCTTTTCACAGACTTACGAAAAATATTTTGATCTTTTGATCCTTTAATTTAGTTAACTATTTGTCCTTTCGTCTTCTTTTTGAATAGACGTCACGTAAATAATTTGAGATTGTGTGTTTTTATAACCATTTGTTGTACTGTGGATCATAAAGACCGATGGTCTTCTCTTTAAAACTATTAGTTCAAATGAAATACCATAGCCAATTCAAGTTGCCCAAGTTAGCTTAACCCTGTAAAACTCATGCAACCTATATACATGTACATATACTGTACATATTTATTTATTCACTTTTTGACATACAAATCTATTTGACATTTTCAAATTGCTACCAACATTGTTAACAAAGGCAATTATTTAGTTTTTCCCAATAGAGGAGTTTCTAAATAGTCTTGAACATTTTTCTCTCATGAGTTTTAAGAGTCTTGCACTTTAACCTCTAATGACTTACTTTTTATTTTATTTTTATTAGCATATTTGGGAGTAGTTTTCTCCAATAATAACTTAGATTATACAGTTATGTCATTTAAATCACTTTCCATGACTTTTTGAAAAATCTTGGGACAGATATCCATTGATACAATGCTAAAATTCTCCAAAACCTTGGTTTATCCGTTTGACATCCAAAACTTTCATGATTAATCACAATATGTACATTGACAGGGTCATCCCTTAGTGTGCAATTTGTGTTTCAGACAGATTTAACCAACTCTTTTTCATAAATCATTAAATTAATTGACTATTGCAAGTTTATAACATGAAAGTCAGTGTCTATTTGACCCATCTATTATGTCAGCTTTATTCAGCTATTGAGAAACTATACAATTGAATTTCGGAACAAATAAACATTAATGATTAATATAAAAAATTCAAGAATGATTATTTTATACAAAAAATTATATTAAGCAAATTTAAGATCAACGATGGTTATTACTGAGCAAACTTTCCCAGCACATTTCTTTGACTTGATTGGTGAGTTCTGATATTATCATATCAATTTATTGTCACAGTACCAGTCAATATGTGAATTATACCTACACTTGACCGAAAAAGTCTAATCAAACAGATTTATCAAGATGTATTATGTCAATGGGAGTGATTAACTGCAATTTTCCAATTATAAATGTTGAAGAATGTTATTTGTGTTGAAAGTTGAAATGCTTCGATTCATTTGTATTTGCTATTCATTCATCATTTCCTGTTGGATAAGACAGTTATTTACACCACCCCCTGTCCTGATAGGCCATGTTCTTGTCATCTCAACTCAAATAAAATCAGTTTTCTCTCTTTGATAAACTAAATATAGCCTGGTGTACTAAGAATAGAAATCGTGGGGGAAAGTCTTATTCCTGGTATTAATCTCAAGATTTATGAAATCATACAACCGCCTACTAGTGGTTAGAGTTACCACTTTTCATCAATTAGGAAAACAATTATTTATTTTATTTAATAATCTAACCAAGAAAGTATATTTTCTAATAATCTTATGATTTATTGTACTGTTACATCTAGGAAACAGTGAGCAAAATCCTTGCATCTTTGATTGAAACTACTGTACTACTGAAACCACCATTTCATAATTGTAAACCAAATATAGTACCAAGCCTCTTACTCCACCTACCATCATAATTCATCTCCAGATTATTATAGGGGAGAGGTGGTCACAGTGACCTGAAGCACATACATATAGTATTTATATACTGAAATGAAGATTATAATTTCCTTTCTGTGTTAATTATCAGGATATGATGAAAATAGTTCAATTTATTAAAAGTGCACAGTAATAAGGTAGATATATTGGCATGTGTTAAGGATAATGTGATAAAGTATTTTCTTCAATGCAAGGATTGGGTTTTTTTGCCAATAGGAAAACATAATGATTTTCTTTTTACCATTTCCTTGCCTCACCAACTCATTTGGCTCACCCCTTCCTTTGCCTCTACCTATCCCATATCCTACCCACTCCTTTCCCCATCCACTTCTTTGCCCCCTCTCCTTGTTTTCCCCACCTACTCCTTTGCCCCATCCACTTCTTTACCCCATCCACTCCTTTGCCCCATCTCCTTCTTTTCCCCACCTACTCCTTTGCCCCACCCATTCCTTTACCCCATCCACTTCTTTGCACCCTCTCCTTCTTTGCCCCCTCTCCTTGTTTTCCCTAACGTACTCCTTTGCCCCACTCACTCCTTTACCCCATCAACTTCTTTGCCCCATCTCCTTCTTTTCCCCACCTACTCCTTTGCCCCACCCATTCCTTTACCCCATCCACTTCTTTGCCCCCTCTCCTTCTTTGCCCCCTCTCCTTGTTTTCCCCACCTACTCCTTTGCCCCACTCACTCCTTTACCCCATCAACTTCTTTGCCCCATCTGCTTCTTTTCCCCAGCGCCTTTCCTTCAATCTATCCTTTGCCCCACCTACTTCTTTGCCCTAACTCATCTTTTGCCAGACCCTTTCCTTTGCCCCAACTCATCTTTTGCCAAATTAACACCTTTGCCCTAGCCTTTACTATGCCACACCTTTTTCTTGCTCTCTTGATTTGGTTTGTCATCCTCTATTGTCCTGCTCTGCTCCTCTTCATTTATCTATGGCCCAGTCCACTAATGCCGTGGTCATATTTGCTCCGATTTTTACTACGGCGCCCGGCAGATTGAGTAGTTCAAAATTGTATTCAATTTGGAACAAAATACTCATCTCCTTGGTGCCAGTGCTGAAAATCAGAGCAAATGTGACCACGGTATAAATGGTTTCCCTTATCTAGACTCATTTTTACTTTTAATATTTACTTTATTCAGTCCCTGTGATGGGTCACGCCTCCCCTCCCTCCTTCCCTGTGGTCCAACCCTTCTGTATTCTTCCAATTCCAGATAAAACAATTCTAGGTTAACATATTGCTCTATAGACAGATAATGTCCATCATTATGAGATTATCCTAAATTTATCATGTGTTTACTCTACCCTTAACCTGTCTGGTATATAGTAAACACAATAAACTTCAACCACTTCTCAAGTCTACAGAATCCACCAATTTAGAACCAAAATAATGTATTTTCCACCATGGTAATGTGACAGCTTATTTGTCTAATTTAACCCATGGCTGATACATTTCATTTGTTAAATACTGATTCATTGCATAATCTTTATAGAATATATGAATGGTCTGAATTTCTGACATTTTAAAATGATTTACAAGTTCATTTTGATCTATGTTTAAGTTATTAATCACCATTTCATCTCATACTGACTCTAGTTTACATTTTATGAATTCCTTCATGATTTTTTATTGATGGGTTTTTCAAGAGGCTTTCCTTTCTATTATAGCAGCTACTTGGCCCTGATACCTCTGAGGTGCTGCTTCAATCTATGTATCCGGGTGTTTATCTATTTCTGTTGTCATTCTGTATAAAAGTACAAGTCTCTTCACCTGAGGATGGTTGAATATGGGTTGGGTTAGGGGTTGAGGAAGATATGATAGGAATGGTAGTAATTGAATATACAATAGATTACTGAATATACAGTAAAAGTACAGACATCCACAAGAAAGCCCCAGAACTGGGATTGAATCAAAGATGTCTTGCTTCCGAATCCAGTGCTGACACCATCAAACCAACAAAGGTGATCACTCAAGTTTGAACACTTTTGAGTCTCAAATAGCCATGAAAACATGCATTGATCATGCAGTTCCTATGCTTCTACCAATATAAAGAAGATTCAAATTTTAGTGCTAACTTGTGTTGTTTTGTGTTGACATGGAAAAAGTGTTTACTTTCGCCAACCTCAAGCAGGATTCACTTGTGAAGTGGACCACATGTGTAGATGTGAGTGGTCCAGAAAATATTGTTAATAATAGACATTCGGCACATTTCAAATATTAAACTACAGTGAAACCTGTAAAGTGGAACATCTCTACAAGTGGAACACCTCTGTTAGTGGAACACTTTTCAGAGTCCCAAGACCAACATACTTGTCAATTGAACCTCTTTAAGTGGAACTCCTCCCAAGTAGAACATTTAGAGGTACCAAAGGTGTTCTATTTAGAAAGGTTTTACTGTGCTTATACTCTAGCCCAACAAGTTGTAGGACTACCCTCTGTGACTTTCAAGGAGCCTCTTTCCCCAAGCTTCAGGTGGAGCAGATTTTGACATCACATTACCAAACAAACTCCTTTTTATGTCCCCACCACATAGTGTGGGGCCATATTGTCGGCCTAGGCGCGTCCGTCTGTCCGTCTGTCCGTCTGTCTGTCCGTCTGTCTGTCCGTACGTCCGGCAGTTTTCTCCAAAACCGCTACAGATATCACCTTCAAATTTTCAGGGATAACTTATGAGTGCATACAGATGTGGATGAAAAAAAATTAACTCGATACCTACTTCCTGTCGGCCATTTTGAAGTCAAATGCTAAAATCCTTGTCTGCAAACTTTAAGAAAAACTGCTTCACAGTTGCTTTTAAAACTTTAACATCTTGTTCAACTAACTTCATTCTAGATCTGATTAGGTTTTGGACCTGCTAGCTCAGTCATGTCAGCCATTTTGAATGTCTTAAGAAAAGTTAGCGCGCGATAATACTTTGTATCATATTGAATGGTGTTTTTGAGTTTTCATACTTTAACTATTTAGTAGCTTTATAAATAATTTCAGATGTACTTTGCTGTAAAAGCCTACTTTATTGTTAACAGTAGTTATATGTGATAATTTTGTAAAAAGAAATCAGCAAAAACTCATAAGGACTTTTTTATTGTCGGCCATTTTGGA